GTAGCCCTAAGCAAGGACAATCCGAAACCACTTTGACTCGACCCAAATCGGAAGTGGACCCCGCTCAAAAAATTGCCCCAAAATGACCATTTAATGCAATTTATAACACTTTTTTCCAACAGCATGCTCCTAGACCAGAGAGCTGTAGAAAGCGGCGGATGTGCTCCCACATTAGTCGGCGGCACAAGGACTGAGAATTTGGGATTGTCTTTATCTTCAATTTCTCCATCAAATAATCACTATGTAGTTAATGAACCGTATTTCTAAAGATCCGCAATTCTCTGGCCTAGGAGAAATACAGCAATCCCAAATTGTCATGAGAACGGTATTTCTCCTAGGCCAGAGAATATTTTTTTAACTAATGACAATTAATTCTTTCCTTCTCAATTCTATTGTTAATGCACTTATGAATTGTGAGTAGTTTTAATTAGGGATTTGGGATTGCTGAAGTAGTTAATGATGATGTTGGGTTAATTTTTTGATAAATTAATTGCATGATCTTTAATTAATTTGTGTTTGAATATAATGATTTAATTGATATCTCTTGTAACCTACAATTGCAGCTGGCATTATAATTGCACATAGAATAAATTAAGAGAAATCTAATTTATTCTATGAGACTCTCACACACACTTAATCACTCGCTAAGAGATTATTAACGGTTAGGGAGGCTTGTCACATGATAGATCAGTCTGGTTTTGATCAGTGTTTCTCAATTAAATAATTTTCATGTGATTAAGCTTGATCAGTCCCGAAATCTAATTACCTCGAAATCAATCCTTGTTTCCTTTCGTCATTAATTAGAAAGAACCTTTTGATTTAATTATTTTTTTGCATTCAATTTTTTAAAAATCCAATTCAAATATTTTACATCGCATTTATTTTATTTATTTAGTTTTATTCACTGATTTATTTAATTCTTCATTATATTCATTTTTTCGCTCTTTGGAAACGACTTTCGTACGTTAGCCACTTAGCCCTACATCACTTCATATTTATTAAAAACGGCTCTAGATAAAACAATTTCATGTGAATAATGGTAGGGACTACTCGACTAGGGAGACGTTAAATGCAGGCAGTTTAGGGATAATAAGTTATTTAGTGGCGCACGTTTTTTCATTTCACTGGTTATAAATAGCAACATTTTTAACTTTTGATCACGTATATATTTCGAAAAGAATCAACTTTTCATCACGTGATAATATGTAGGCATGCATACATTGCATAATTACCAAATTGGTAAAAAAAAAAGGGTCATTGGATGGATTGGTAAAAAAACCACTTGAGACAAATTGTTAAAAAAAGCCCTATTGACAAATTGGTCAATTTTTTGTGAGTGATAAACTTTTGATCCTCGACTTTAGAATTCCTGACCTTTCATATTCTAAGTATTATGAAATTGACATTTTTGGTTTTTTTTACTTTGATTTTTCATCAAAAGTCGAGGTCTAAAAATGTCGATAATCGTGTTTGATAATACGGAATAACATTTGATTTGTTTGGTAGCTAATAGCAGGTTGAATCAACATATTGATAATAGCGGAATCCGTTAGCTTTTTTAACCAACCGCTTTCATTAGCATTTGAAATAAAATGTTAGTAACGTAATTATTGGCTATTAAATGTTAAGATGTAAAATGAAAATTAAAGATATGAATTTAAAAGTATATATTTTATCTTAACTTTATTTATTTATTTTAAAAAAGTTAAAAGGTTTTAAAAATTATATTTACATTTATGTTAAATAGTAATTGTTAAATAACCATAAATTGATGCATTGGATTTATTCTAACTTTTTATGGCATTCCGTGTGCACGCACATGTCTTTAAAACGTATGCTTTCTCGGAAGTGTGAAAGTATATACTCTGTATATTTTCTTATAATATAGAATATACGTTTATTAGATGGTAGATTCTATGGTACCCATAAGGTACCATACCTTTGTCCAAATGGACCAATGAGAATGTAGCAGTTGAATTATTTAAATCTAAATTAAAAATGATAAAGTGATGTGGTCCAATCAAATGAATGGTAGGTACGGTACCCCATTTTTTAGGAAGGTACCGGAGTTGTTACCTTATTAGATTTCCATTATCAAAGGGATTGCAGTGGTTTATTTCCGGGAAAATTCTAAAATATACTTCCTCCGTTCCCTTTTAATTGCAAAAGTCAACATTTCACGTTTGCCAACACACAAGTTTGACCATTAAAATCTTTGATTCCTTATTAGTAAAAAATTTAAAAAATTCATATTTTGAAAATTTAGAATGAGAAGAATTTAATAATATTTTTTAAAAAATTAATTTATAATACATTAATGAATAAAATATAGTCAAAGTAGAATATGTGAACAGTACAAAAAGTCCAATGTTGCGATTAAAAGAGAACGGAGGATAGTAATTGTTATGTTTTTATTCTCTAAATATGAGTAATTACGGTCAAATTTGAAAAATATTTTTTTAAGACGTGCAATTCCCCTTTATTACCCATGTACTGCGTCGATAAAAAAAGTGAATGCAGTGGTGATATTATTGCAGGTTTGCAGATATGTCTATAAAAATGGATTGAGATGGAATGTTCGTTGGATCAGATATTCGAATTTGTTAAGACACGAGATTCCATCCTAAAAGGTCAAACCTGTTAGGAGGAGTAACCTAGAGCTTAATATAGCATTCGTTTCATCCAAACTTTTCCGGTGTGGGATATTTAACACCCCTCCTCACGACCAGACACTTCGTTTGGATCGTGTCATCATTCATTTTTTCATTGGTTCGTCATTTAAGATCAGTTTTTCATAAGGGGTCCACACCATAGATCGGTTTGGCTCTGATACCATGTTAAGACACGGGATTCCATCCTAAATTAAAAGGTCAACCTGTTAGGAGTAGCCCGGAGCTTAATATATAGCACTCGTTTCATCCAAACTTTTTCGGTGTGGGATATTTAACAGAATTTAATACGGAGTAAGAGTGATGACAAGTTTGCAACCTGCTCACGTGTTGGAATGTGAATAATTATATTGGAATGTAAATTAATAGTGAAAAGTTTGAACGCATGTGACTATGTGAGCTGATAAATCAAAAAGTGGTGAGTGTGGACATCAGTAATCAGCTTGTAAGTTTAAGTTAATCATAACACAGCCAAAAAGTAATTAAGTTTAACTTTATCCAAATCGATCTTCTAATTGTACGTAAATGGCTAAATGGTGAAGTTACTTGGAAAATGGACCACTGAAGCATGGCTCTTAAACATTAGAAAAGAAGCTCATTTACGGAATAGGCTTTGTGGATGAAGTTGTCCAACTAGAAAAGTAATCCTTTGCTTCATTTTCTCAGGTGAAAATATGCGCGTGTAAAGATTCCATCATTGAGTAATTGTTAATTGTTAATAAGCATGCATGGGAGCTTTCATTTGAGTTGTTTTCCCCTTTTCTCTCAGTGTGGCATGCACATGGATATATGCATGGTGGATGGATGTAGGGTTGATAGTCCCGGGACTCGTCAGTACGTTGTAGGGGAGGACCTGGATCCGAATGAGGAGTTCCAGGACAGGATCAAGACCGGGCTACTGAGAACGAAGTCCAGATTCGATCCCGAATCTCAAATGTTTAGACCTGGACTGACTTGTCTCAGTTATGGTCCTCTTTTTTTCTTTGCATTACATGCAACCGTATTATGAAACATTTTAAAAAGAGGTGTAAATCCATCAATTGAAAGCTTGAAATGGATAGTTCAAATTATTTTAATGAACAAACCGTATGAATTATTATTGTAGAATATCTAATTAATTTTATGAATATCAACTTGTTGCAATTATTTAAGAAGAGAAATAGTATATGAGAACAATAAAAGTTAAATAAAATTTGACATATCTATTACTACTTCCGTCCTCCTAAGTTTGGGAAAAGATAAGGTGTGGTTGATATTGAATTGATAAAGTACGAATAAAGTAAGAATGATTTAGAACCACACAAACTTTACCAAATAAAGTATGAGACAATTTTAGTGGGCTGACCACACAAATTAGTAATTGATGATTTCTTGTAGAGTATATTAGTATGGGCTGACTCAGTCACTCCTAACTCCAGATTGCTTAGTGCTAGGCCCCTCATTGGATCATCCCGTCTCCCATAGTGTGATTAGTGTTTGCTCTTCAAATGGAAATCTAGAAGTACTCTTTATCTTTATTCGGAATAAATTATGGGGTTTTTACTTGGATATTACTAATTTTGAATCAATTACCCAAAAAGTGACCATTTTTAAAAAGGGGCAAAAAAGTGATCAAGAACGTCATATATGTGCAATTAGAAAACATGATCTAACGGCAAAAATTTTATGTCACTACGTGTTCATTTTTTTGTAACTACAGCCACCACCTATGTCACTGTGGCCACCGCCCGTGTCACTGTGACCACCGCCCGTGTCACTACAACCACCGCCTGTGTCACTGTAGCCACCGCCCGTGTCACTGTAGCCACCACCCGTGTCACCATAACCGCCGCCCGTGTCACTATAGTCACTCTAGACCTTCCACCGCTGGCCGCCACCGCTCTTCACACAAACTTCACCAAATACGGAGGGCGTATAATTTTTTCTTTATTTTGTTAATAAAGTATATTGTAAATACTACGTATAATTTTTCCATAATTGTATAGATTCAATAAAGTTAGGTGTTTGATTCAAAGTTTCATCAATAATCAGTTTTAACAGATTCAACCAACTCATCTAATATTAGTGTTAAGAACCAGGGTTAAAAAACAGCTTAAGATTGTTTTGTACTAGTACTACTATACGTATTTTTTAGAGATTGAATGTATCTAATCTAGTATTCTAGTGTGGTAATATATACCCAAATCAGTTGTATCTAATCTGTGTGATAATACCCAAATGTATGAGGTTGTGACTGATAATAAACTTAAGAGTTAAGACGCTGTAATTATTCAAAGTAAATGAGATTGGATCAACGAAAACAAAAACTCAAAGCTAACCTAGAACCCTCTTCTCAAACGTATAAAAAGAGACCCAGACATGCATTTGCATCCACATCCAAAAAACTGAGCTTAATACAATAATACATATACTTCGTACTTCGTATATACTTCAACCCTGCTTTTTACCCAGAAACTGAAGCCAAAAACTACATTAAAACATTGCCCTTCTTGAATCCAAGGGAGAAAGAATCGTTGAAAAAGAACGTCAGAGAAGGGAGAACAAGCTTGCCGGAGTTTCTCCGGGCAAATCTTCACGACAGAATCTGGAGTTAAGGGAGCCGCTGCCACCTTCCAGTCCACTGCCGATCGTCTCCTCAGCTGAACACCGCTGCATGCCTTGCCAGTCGTTTGTCGTCGAAATAGGTAATTCATAATCTCTGCGTTTCTCTGCTTCCGATCCCCGGCGGCAGCGGCCGGGATGAAGAAGACGACCGAGCCGCAGTTATTTTACGATGGTCTTAAACAGTTGTGCCGTTGATTTAGTATTATTTGGTCTGAAATTAATAATATATATGCGGGCTGCCTGGTTAATATTTAGTTATTACTAGTAATATATGTTGGGTAAACACACTCAAAAGTGTATGAAACAAATCAGGTTTGATGAAGTATATGAAACACAAAACTAAAGAGAGGAAATCAAGCATTCAAAGGATCATACTGCAATCTTCTCTTTCATTCAATATAGGGGAAAAATCCAGTACTTTCGGATGAAAAAACCCCTACAGATTACATCATATTTAAACAACTCACACCAAGCAGTTAACCCACGCAACTAGACCCCTAAAAATACTCCTACGTGCATGTGTGTGTGCTTTGACTACTTCAGCCCATATGCACACGTACATGGTACATTATCAGTAAAAAATAACACCCTAGGAATGGTAAATGACACACACAAAATAAAAGGACAAGTTTAAACTTTCAATATTCACCCCCTTAAACTTGTTCTACTCTTTTATGGCTTGAACACCAATTTTGCTCCTCAGCTCTGTGAACTTCTGTCTTGCAAGGGGTTTTGTGAGTATATCAGCCAACTGAGAATTTGTCTTGGTGTACTCCAAGCTGATCATTCCCCTTTCAACACACTCCCGGATGAAATGAAAACGAGTGTCAATGTGTTTACTTCTTTCATGATGGACAGGGTTTTTGGCTAGTGCTATGGCTGATTTATTGTCAATTTTCAAAACTGGTTGCACCTGAATCCCTTCCATTATACTTTCTAGCAGTTTAGTAAGCCAAATTCCCTGACATGCTCCCCCAGTTGCTGCAATATACTCAGCTTCGCATGAAGAAAGAGCTACAATTCTCTGCTTCTGTGACACCCAAGTAACAGGACTCATACCCATGAAATACATGATTCCTGTAGTACTTTTCCTATCGTCCATGTCTCCAGCCAAATCACTGTCACAGAAACCTATCAAGTCTTCACTCTCTTGATCTCGTTTGTACACACAACCAAAGTTCATTGTTCCTTTTATATACCTCAAAATTTGCTTAACTGCATTCAAGTGTGAAGTGGTTGGTGTCTCCATATATCTACTCACAATCCCTACTGAATAGGTAAGATCAGGTCTGGTGTTTGTCAAGTACCTCAAACTGCCAACAATGCTTCTATACATTGTAGGATCCACAGTTTGCTCTCCATCAAATTTGCTATATTTGCTTCTAGGCTCCATAGGAATGCAGCATGGATTGCATTCAGCCATGCCCATTTTTTCAAGAATTTTCTTTGCATAGCTGGTCTGACTCAGGGTTATGGTTTCTTTGCTTTGCTTTACTTCAATTCCCAGATAGTAACAGAGAAAACCCAAATCACTCATCTCAAAACTCTTCATCAGTTTCTCTTTGAACTCTTGAACCAACTGTGGACATGAACCTGTAAGGATTAGATCATCCACATACACTCCTACTATTGTGATATCATTCCCAGCTTTCTTCACATACACTGAATGTTCAAACACACACCTTTTGAAATCTAAAGATTTCAAACATCTATCTAGTTTTTCATTCCAAGCTCTAGGAGCTTGCTTTAAACCATATAAAGCTTTATGCAATTTGAGTACCTTGTTTTGATGTTTGATGTTCACAAAGCCTTCTGGTTGGACTACATACACCTCTTCTTTTAGTTCCCCATTGAGAAAAGCTGTCTTCACATCCATATGGTGTACATCCCACTGTTTATGAGCTGATAATGCTAGCAGAACTCTCACAGTCTCCATTCTAGCCACTGGTGCAAATACCTCTTGATAATCAATGCCAAACCTCTGAATGTACCCCTTTGCTACAAGCCTGGCCTTGTGCTTTACAATTCTCCCTTCTGGATCTTTCTTTAACTTGAAAATCCACTTCAGTCCTATGGCTTTGTGATCTTTTGGTAGATCTGCCAGTTCCCATGTTCCATTCTTCTGTATGGATTCTATCTCAGTAACCATAGCTTCCCTCCAGTTCTGATTACTAGCAGCCTCTTTGTAGCATGTGGGTTCTTCAATTGACAGAAAACATAGGCTTGCCTCTTCATTTATATCTCTGGTAGCATCATAAATCTCCTGCAAAGATCTGAAATTTAGGTGTTCAGAGTCTGAACTTGAGCTGCTTGTAGACCTTGGTGTAGTTAAAGGAGATTGAACTGGTGTTTCATTTAGACTGTCCTCTGATGCATTAGAGCTAGAAATATGATCAGCATCACCTTCAATTGATCTTTCTTTAACTCTTAGTACAAAAGGATCTTCACCTGCAGCCCTTTCTTCATGTGATGCACCTTGCCAATCCCATCCTTTATCCTCTTCAAACACCACATCCCTGCTTACAATGATCTTTTGTTTTTCAGGTTCTAATAGCCTATAAGCCTTAGACCCTTCTTCATACCCCAATAATACAGTCTTCACACTTCTGTCAGCCAGCTTAGTAATATGAGGAACCACAATCTTTGCATGGGCTAAGCATCCAAACACTCGCAGATGTTGAACATTTGGAGCTTTGCCATACCATACTTGATAAGGTGTCATCCCTTCTATGCACTTAGTTGGAGCCCTGTTCAAAAGATATACTGAGGTTTTTACGGCTTCACCCCAGTATTTTGCTGGCATATTCTTGGTTTTCAGTAGGCTTCTAGTCATTTCCATCACAGTTTGGTTTCTTCTTTCCACCACCCCATTTTGCTGGGGTGAGTATGGGGCAGTGAGGTGTCTCTTTATTCCTTCATCACTACAGTAGTTCTTGAATTCATTTGAGTTGAACTCACCTCCCCTGTCAGTTCTAAAACATTTAAGTTTTTCCATCACCTCCCTTTCTGCCATATGTTTGAATCTTTTGAAGACACTCAGGGCTTCTGCTTTATGCTTTAGCAATGATATCCACATAAAGCGTGAGAAATCATCAACCAACAACATAAAGTAGTGGTTTCCTCCAGGTGTGGGAGGTGATATGGGACCACACAGGTCTCCATGAATTAATTCCAGTTTTGCTTGAGCTCTAAAACTTGTTTTCTGTGGGAAAGGAGTTCTGTGTTGCTTGCTGATCATACAACCATCACACACTTGATTTACATGTGTGATGTTTGGTATTCCTTCTGCCATTTGCTGATTAGATAGTTTTTTCAGAGCTTGAAAGTTGAGATGACCATACCTTGCATGCCAAAGCCATTCCTTATCAGTTATTCTTGTGAGCAAGCATACCTTTTCTACAGCCTTTAGATTTGCAATGAACAATCTGTTAGGTTGCCTCTTCACTTTGATGATGAGTCTGTGGTTGTTATCATGGATCTTCAATTCCCCTCCTTGAATGGTCACTTGATTCCCATTTTCATCAAGTTGACCAATACTTAAGATATTACTCCTAAGTTTTGGTATATAGTACACACTGGTAAGGATGAGGTGTGCTCCATTGTTGCATTGGAACACCACTGAGCCTTGTCCATGTATACTGATCATAGACCCATCTCCAAACCTCACTTTACCTTGAATTGAATGATCTAGCTCTGTGAACCAGCCTTTTTCTCCTGTCATGTGATTGCTGGCTCCAGTGTCTAGGAACCATCCAGATGATCTCTTTGGGTAATCACTTGTGACCTGCTTGTCTTTGTTGTCTCTTGGTGCATCTGTCTTGGTGAGTTCACAAGATTCTATCACCAAGAGTGCTGGTTCATCATTGTCCTCTTGTTCTGCAAGGTTGATTTGTTCTTCTTTCTCATCTAATTGACATTCAGAAGCAAAATGCCCCATTTTTCCACAGTTGTAGCACTTGATTTTGGTTTTGTCAAATTTCCTCCTTTGTTGTGGTTCTTCTCCATTTCTTTGTGCTCCAAATCCTGTTTTACCTCTCCCACGTCCTCTGCCTCTTCCCCCTCTAGAACTTCCTCCTCCTCTGAGGTTTTTTTTATGAGATTCTCCTTCTTCCCTTGCTCTCCATTCTGTCTGAGTGAGAAGGACAGTGTCTTCATCACTTGCTCCACATCCATGCAATCTCTCCTCATGTGCTTTTAGTGATCCTACAACTTCTTCAGTGGTTTTTGTTTTTAGGTCACCAAATTCTTCAATTGTGGATGCAAGTTGAAGAAATTTTGGGGCTGCAGACCTCAATAATTTTTTCACCACTTGTTCCTCTTGAACTTTATTACCAAGACCCCTCAGTTTGGTAACAATTACTTGCAGCTTTCCTGAGTATGCATCTACACTCTCTCCATCAGTCATCCTCATGGCTTCAAATTCTCTCCAAAGTGACTGAGTCCTGACTTCCTTTACTCTTTCTGCTCCCAGATTCATTGTCCTTAGCATGGACCATGCCTCCTTAGCAGTTCTATTGGCCCCTAATTGCAATAGGGTATCCTCACTTATTCCCTGATAGATGGCTGCCAAAGCCATCTTATCCTTGCGTACCTCTACAGCTCCTTCACCTTCCACAGCCTCCCATACACCTTGGGCCATCATAAACACTTCCATTTTGATGGCCCACGCAGCATAGTTTGATGATGTGAGCATGGGATACCTGAGCGTGATAGAGTCTCCCTTGTCTTGATTGCTTGATTCTTCATGTGAGTCTCGTGACATGTTGTGATCTCGAATGGTGGCTCTGATACCAAATGTTGGGTAAACACACTCAAAAGTGTATGAAACAAATCAGGTTTGATGAAGTATATGAAACACAAAACTAAAGAGAGGAAATCAAGCATTCAAAGGATCATACTGCAATCTTCTCTTTCATTCAATATAGGGGAAAAATCCAGTACTTTCGGATGAAAAAACCCCTACAGATTACATCATATTTAAACAACTCACACCAAGCAGTTAACCCACGCAACTAGACCCCTAAAAATACTCCTACGTGCATGTGTGTGTGCTTTGACTACTTCAGCCCATATGCACACGTACATGGTACATTATCAGTAAAAAATAACACCCTAGGAATGGTAAATGACACACACAAAATAAAAGGACAAGTTTAAACTTTCAATAATATATACTTCGTATATATTTAATAATATATATATATGAATCCGGTCACATAGAATTATACTAGTACTCGTAATAAGTATAGAAATTACTTCAAATAGGACTAAAACTATGGCAAAAACTCAAAATAGGACTTGCTATGTTTTTTTTCCAAAATAGGACCATAGTGGTCCTATTGGAAACATACTCATTTCTTCCTTCCATTCTTACCCCTCCTTTAAATATTAGTAAAAGATAGCTAAAAGTCATAATTAAATGTTTAATTCATAATAAATTCGAAAAAATTTCAATAATTCGTAGAAAAATAATAAAAAAATTAATAAAATTTTTATAAAATAAAAAATAAGAAAAAAAAATTTTTTTAATTTTTTTTTTTTTTTGAAAATTAATAAAAAAATAGTAAAACTCCATAAAAAAAATTATAAAAAATATGGATACCTTTCCCACCGCCTGTAGTACCTCCCTGAACCACCACTTTCGATCGGTGTAAAAAATGCCACTTTTTTTTTAAATTCCACAAAAATGGCATATTTCTCTATGAGAATGTCAACATTTTCATTTTGCCAACTTGAATCCTTTTGACTTTTGCCAAAAATATGGCATTCATAATTTTTTTGGCATTTTTTTTACCCCGGTGAGAGGAGGTGGTGGTACCGCCTCCCTGCACCACCACCTCCGACCGTTAAAAAAAATGTCATATTTCCTACAAACTTCCATTTTTTTCGGAAAATGCCAAAAATATGGCATATTTCTCTTTGAGAATGCCAACATTTTTTTTCTTCCATCTTAAATCATTCTGAATTATGCCAAAAATATGGAATTCATAATAAATTTGGCATTTTTTCCCCAAATGACTAGAGGTGGTGGTGCTGGGGCGGTATAGGCGGCGGTGACAAAAAAAAATATTTTTTTGATTTTTTTTTTAATTTTTTTTAATTTTTTTTATTTTTTATTTTTTTTAAATTTTTTTTTTAAAATTTATTATTATTCAAAATATTTTTATTAATTTTTTGGTATATTTTACGAATTTTCATTATTTTTTATTATTTTATTATGAATTAAAACATTCCAATAGGTATAAGGGTATATTTGTCCAAGACAAACATAATTAGTCCTATGGAAACATAGTTTATTTTTTGGTCCTATTTGTGAAAAGTGAATGACTTTTAGTCCTATTTTGATAATTAACTCTAATAAGTAATACTTGGGGATGAAAATTTTCATAACTACGGAGTATTATATTGTATGTAAAGAACTATCGTTTTTTGTTTTTTTTTTCATAGGCTCCCCTGCCTCTAACCCTCCACGCTGCCACCTATAATAAGAATCTTAGTTTAGAAGCTTCGCTTTGCAGACAGTTGTGTCTTCTCCTTCTCGCAGGTCGGCAAGTATCAGAAAAAGGAAAAATAAAGCAAATGTTTGGCGGCCCAGGAAAAATCAGCGGGGTGATATTGCGGACGTTACAGGGAACTTTTGCGGCGATTGCCCTTGGTATTTTAAGTACTGTTCCTGGATTTTCTTTGATTACTCCCATGTGGTAATGCTCCTTCTTATGCTCCATATTGCTCTGGCTTTTTGAATGAAATGCATGTTAATTATTACTCGGTATTAGATATTGTGAAGTATTATTTTTTGACTTTGTATTTATTTGATCAGCTTCCTACTAGTTCAACAGTGTGTTCAAATCATATGGTGCTTTATACTTATATGCCTTGACCTCAAAGTCTTGGTGTCGGGGGGAAGGCTACCGACCCCTATCCATATGATGGTGAACATTGCTTTTGATTGGGTAATCTCTTCACTATATTATGTCATAAGTTCTCTTTTTTGTTAGACATTTTTAATTTTGGATTAGATAATTACTAATATGCAAATTGAATTTATGCATTCATGCAGTGTATATGGATGTTATCTCTTGGAGCTTCATCCGCAGCCGCGTCCGTGGTTGATGTTTTCTGGGCCCAATCCATGTGCCAAAAGTGGGGAGAGTATACCTGCAGACGTTACCATGCAGCGGTTGTCATGGCCTTTATTGCTGTGGCATTCCAAGCAATCTCAGTTCATATTTGGATGTGGATTGCAGCCAGGGACGGATCCAGGATTCTGTGTCAAGGGGGGCAAAATTTTTCGTTAGTGTAGGGGGTGAATTTTTTTTTGTTAGTGTAGCGGGGTGAAATTTTTTTCCCTAGTATAGCGGGGCGAAATTTTTTCGCTACTGTAGGGCTATGCGGCTATTTTTATTCAAAAAATGACATTAATACATGCACATCCCGAACGACATTTAAATCTATTACATTCTAAGTTTAGACGATGACAAAGACATCAACCAATACATTTTCAATAACTTCAACATTGTTTAACCTCATGAATCGGTTATTGAATTGTAATTTTTGTCCACCAAGGAGAGTGTTCGTGAGTCATGACTCATGAGAAGTTTTCTTAATATTACAATAGTAGTATACTAGTATGTATGGGATTGTTATTTTTAGAATAATATGCACCACATACACACACACACATATATGGTGCATATTATATTTTAATATTTTTATTAATTCTATAATAATTTAGAGTTTATTATCCATGCAATAAATTATTTTTAGAAAGCAAGAAGTAAATGAATTATGTAATCTAATGTCTATAAATATTTATATTTTGGATTCATTTCACGTGATCTAAAAATTGTGTAATTAGTGTGTCTGGTATTTAATATTGTTTGATATATGTTTTACGAAATCCAGTACTTGTTATCTAATAAAGATAATTAAACATTACAAAACTAGGAATTCTTATATAATAAGTATCCTAAATCATAAATAACGAGTTACTCTATTGTTTATTTGTTTAAGTTATGTAAATTATTTTAGATGTTTCTTCTTTTAAATCTCCAATTAAGTATTACATTATATAAGACTATATATATTAATTTTGAAAATTAAAAGCTAAGGGGGGCGAATCTAATTAAATTATGAAAGTTTTATGAAAATATTACATATATGGTAAAAAAAATTGAATGTCCAAGGGGGGCGGTCGCCCCCCGCGCCCCCCTAAATCCATCCCTGATTGCAGCCTCCTCCTTTTTGTGAGCCTTTCTTTCTCCAGCTACCGATTATAGGCATGCATGTGCTCTACATACATACGTATATGTGATGAATATATATTGATGGAGCATTACCTATTTATACACTTATTCTCCGTACTTATTTATTGAGACTCTATTCAAAAGTATTACTAGTATTAGGGTTGGTTTGCAACTACTTTTAAAAAAGCACTTCTCAGCTTTTGGCTTTAAAAAAACACTTATTTTCCCAAACACTACAACTTTTATTTTTCTCGGCTTCCGCGTCAAAAGTGCTTTTACTTTTTCTATTACACAAAAAGCACTTATTTTACCAAACACTACCCACTTTTACTTTTCAAAATCATTTTTTTTCTCAAACACTATTAACTTTTATTTAATCACTTCTCCCCATTTCATTAAAAAATACATTTTTTTAAAAACAGAAGCGGTTGCAAACAGACCCTTAATAGTTACTAGTATTACAATATGGTCGTATATATATAGCCACTTAAATGTATAATTAAACATTACTTGCATGACTAAAGTTACTACGGAGTACTACGTATTATACTACGTTTATGATTAATTAATGATTTTTTGCTTTTTGTTTGGCAAAATTAACAGGCCCATGCTGCATTAACCGTCGGCGCGTGCTCGTTGCTCCATTTTCCATTGCGGCTTATTATTTGTTTTATTATTTCACCGATTCAAGTAATTTACGCCCAAGTATTTAGTAATCAATGTATTAGAAGTAGCTTAATTAGGATGGTTTTGTATTTTAATTGTATTTCTATCGTGTACAATTTTATTGTAATAATATAAATCTTCTCTCATGTGAGTTTCATATTCGAAAGTTTGATCGTTTTTAACTTTTTACCACCGGGTGAATGTGTGAATATATTGTCCACATAAATTAGAATACAAATTACGTAGTACTATATTATGACTTTATGGTGGAGGACAAATAAAGTAGGAAACTCATTACCCATTACTTTAGTGGCTCTTTGGAGGACAAAATATGGGCTTATAAGCCTCAAAGTTGGAAAAAAATGCCAAACCCCCACTAAATGAGTTACTTTAATTTGGCTGATTATTCTTATCAGCAGAAATGAGTACTTTTTTAGTTGAAATGGGTTATGTTACTGGCTAATTAGAAGACCATTTTATCCTTTGTTAGAGCAACCACATTGTTTAGATTATTTAGAGATTAATTTGATAATGTGACTGATTAGTTTGAGATTATGATTGAGATAAAGAAACTATTTGCAAAGATTATTTATAAAAAAATCCAGCATCAAAATTTCAAACCAGATTATTTTAAATGATTTATCCAACATAAATGATTGGAAATTTTCTAGGATATCACTAAAACTTTATGAGTTTCTCGATATATGACCTAACTTATATTTAAACTTTTGTATGACCAAAAATCCAAAAAAAAAAAATAGAAAATCCCGTTCACATTTAAATGTTGATTGACCAAATACACTTAATTAAAAAATGTGCATTTTACACTATTTTTGTCCAATTAAAATAGTGCACTTTATACTGCAGTTAGTTACTGCACGATATTACTGCACATCCGGTAACATTTCACTGCACTTCCGCCAATAGTAATTCTCTTCTCATCCGCTTTAAGAATTTATTTATAGTTCTTTTTATATTTTTGTTAGATTTAATAATATTTGTATTTCACGTCCAATTAGATGTATTGCATTTCATGGAGGCATTATTAGACCTCGACTTTTGATGAAAAATCAAAGTAAAAGGACCGAAAATGTCAATTTCATAATACTTAGAATATGAAAGGTCGAGAATTCTAAAGTCGAGGATCAAAAGTTTATCACTAACAAGATATTGACCAATTTGTCACTAGACCTTTTTTTACCAATCTGTCTAATGACAAATGTCAATTTGTTTTTACCAATTTCGTAATTTGGCCATGACAAGCATGCATACATAACGACATATTATCACGTGATGAAAAGTTGATTCTTTTCGAAATATACGTGATCAAAAGTTAAAAATGTTGCTATTTATAACCAGAGAAATGAAAAAACGTGCGCCACTAAATAACTTATTATCCCTAAAGTGCCTGCATTTAACGTCTCCCTAGTCGAGTAGTCCCTACCATTATTCACATGAAATTGTTTTATATAGAGCCGTTTTTAACAAATATGAAGTGATGTAGGGCTAAGTGGCTAACGTACGAAAGTCGTTTCCAAAGGGCGAAAAAATGAATGAAGAATTAAATAAATCAGGGAATAAAACTAAATAAATAAAATAAATGCGAGGTAAAAGATTTGGATTTTTAGAAAATTAAATGCGAAAAAATAGCTAAATCAAAAGTTCTTTCTAATTAATGACAAAAGGGTGATAAAAAAAAAGTTAATGACAAAAGGGAACAAGGATTTATTCCGAGGTAATCAGATTTTGGGAGCGATCAAGCTTAATCACATGAAAATTATTTAACTGAGTAACGCTGATCAAAACTAAGTTCTTAACGTTCTAGCGGCGCAGAATACAATAATTCAGGAAATCAGACTGGTCTCTCATGAGACAAACCTCCCTAACTGTTACTAATCTCTTAGCGAGTGATTAAGCGTGTGTGAAAGTGTCCTAGAATAAATTAGATTTCTCTTAATTTATTCTATGTGCAATTATAATGCCAGCTGCAGTTCTAGGTTACAAGAGATATCAATTAAATCATTATATTCAAACACAAATTAATTAAAGATCATGCAATTAATTTATCAAAAAATTAACCCTAGATCATGATTAACTACTCCAACAATCCCAAATCCCTAATTAAAACTACTCACAAATCATAAGTGCATTAACAATAGAATTGAGAAGGAAAGAATTAATTGTCATTAGTTAAAAAAAATATAGTACAATAGAATTGATGAATTAATTGTCACTAATTAACTGCCGCAAGTCGTTCCCAAAGGAAAGATGTTTTCTTTTGACTGAAATTTGTTGATCCGGTCTAGCCCGGTATGATTTGGGTCTAGTCTGATCTGGTAAACGTTTGATCTTTAATTTGTGTATTTTATAAATATGGAAGTTTGATCTAGTCTGATTTGGTATGAGTCTAAAAACAGTTCAAAAAGAGAAAATATGTGAAGTCTCCAAACGGAATTCTCCCATCCCAAGTTGCCATTCCCTCCCATCCTTCCTACATATACATCTATTGTTTATCACGCGCTTTACCGTTTGCACAATTTCATTTTATTGAGATTAATTATTAAAAATTAATTTTTTGTTAAGCTTAAACTATTAAAGAGAAATTACTCAATATAAGACTAAAACATATAGAAGTTTTGCTTAATTCATTTTTACTTTTATTTGTTTTCCATCTATTATTTTTTACCCTTTGCGTAATTCTTTTTTTTTTTGGATTAATTATTATAAACTATTTGAATGCTAATATTAATCTATTAAATAGAAATTGCTCTATATAAGAATAAAACATATACAAAGTTCAAAACTATGACTAAGTATGTTTTATTTTCCAAAAAAGGACTTATCTAAACTTATTAAAAGAATAACTTGATTAAAATTTCCCAAAACAAGAGGCATGAGTCCTATTTTGGGAATAAAACATTGATGATTCTATTTATGAACTTTATCGATGTTTAATTCCTATATTAAATAATTATCTCATTATTAAATTTGTGTATTTATGCTGAAAAGAGAACTCTATCCATGTTTTAGGATGAAAAGATATTCTTATAGTGTGTCTAGAGTTAAATAAATTTGGAGCGTACCAGGATTAGTTCAGATTCTAATTCAAATGATTCGCTATTGATAAATGAAGAATTGGATCAAATTATTGCTAAAAGTGAAACTAATTAATTTGTCTTATAATCTACATAACCAACATGTTAATTTTAAATCTTTGGAAGTCGATCTTTGATTGAGAAAAAAACGCTGATTTTTATCCTAATATTCAAGACGAGGTACACCGTAGGTACCTTAAAATGGATCATTTCACCCTCGGGATCATGATTTCTCTTTTAAAGTAATTGGCGACAAAAGACGTAAATTCGTTTCAAGTTGGTTTGATGAGCATAAACGGTTGAAATACAGTATTGCCAAAGATGTTACATTTTGTTTATCATGTTAGATAGTATTTGTTTAAGAATTAGTGGGAATTTAAGTTGGTGGTGATCAGTTTTGGGAATAGGATTTTCCCTACATTTTGTTTACCATGTTATTTGCCGTTTAAGATGTTGAATTTTGTTTACCATGTTATTTGTTTAAGCCCACGTACTAATAACCAAAAAAGGTCAAATAAGCATTCTCGATTGAAGTGATCTTCAAGAATTCATTTCAATGCCTTCCCAATTAAAGTTTTAGCTGAAATTTGGTATGCGTAAACTAGACTGAATGAATAAGATGTTCAAAAACATGACGTCTCTTAAATGAGCATTAAAGCAATTTTGTTGAGTATCTAATCTAGTCTGTTCTTTTGAGTATTCGGAGCTCAAAAATGAACATCAGTTCTCTGCTTCATATCTTCCAATTCGTTTATAAAAACTCTTAAATTATGTTGTAATCAATTGCAATTAATTTCAATACGTAAATCTAAAGTAGTATGATTCGTTTAAAATGTGCAACATTTTAAAATGAGAATAAAGAGGTACCAAATAAGCATACATAGTTTATAAAAAGAGTATCAAAAAAGCAAAAGCTCATTTTTGTATACTCATTCATTTTGGGTTTTACACTCATTTGAGTTTAGCATAATGTAGTATGATTCATTCTGAAAGTCAACATTTTAAAATGATCATTCATAAAGAGGTACCAAATGAGCATACATAACTTATAAAATGCGTATCCAAAACTCAAAAGCTCATTTGTGTATGTTCATTCATTTTGGTTTTATACTCATTTGAGTTTAACATAAAACTAATTTCTAATATGCTCAATATTCATTTGTGTGTGTTCATTCCTTTTAAGCTTATCCTCGTTTGAGTTTAATATAAATTCATTCCACATTCGTAAACAAAGAAGTGTGAACTCATCATTCTCCTAAATCATCGCTCAATCTGCCGACTCCGTATTCTTTTTCTCACAACACCAGCCAACAAAGAAATCCCCAAAGAGCCGCCGTCTCTTGCACAGCAGGAGGGCGTTCATACTTGAGGAGAAGAGAACGGCGACAAGGAGCATCCTGCCTGGTGCGTGATTAGATCGAAGAAGCCAAGCGAAATTGAAGAAACAAGTGTGGAGTCATGTGCAAAGCAAGATTGGAGAAGTCCGGTGCTAGGGCGAGAAGCGCAGAAGCATAAAGAAGGTCGTCTGGAACGTGTGCACGGTATAGCCGGCTGTATGATGTAATTTGCCATGTTTAATCTATTCCTTCGGAACTTATAACATTTTTTATTACTACCTTTGTCCCACTATATATGTTTGAGAATTGAGACAAGGAAGTGTGGCACAACTTTTAACAAAAAGTGGAATTGTGTGATTGGTATTGAATTGATAAGATGTGAATAAAGTAAGAATGAAATATAACCAACCAAATATTACCAAATATGATATGAGATAAACTTAATGGGACGGACGAAAATGTTAAAACTGGACAAAGTTAGGGGGACAAAGAGAGTATTATTTTGTTAAATGTACTATCAGCTTCTAATCATAATTTATATGTGATCTGTTTATATTTGTTGCATACAAAATTATTATTGTCTTACTAAATTTTTATTTCATTTCATTTCAATTCAATAATTTGTAATGTTTTTTATAAAATATTTTGATTTGAATATTTGATAGAAAAGATTATGGGTACCCTAAAAAAACTTTGCATTCTTTCATGGGCTGCTGTCGTTAATAATTTTACAAAGTGAAGGTACTGACACCATCAAACAAAACAAAGGATTTCTAATGTGTAAAACGAGCCATCTTCTACTCTGGTTGTGATTGAAGAGATCCCGGATAAAAATGCAAATTACTCGTATATTTAACTTTTTTAAGGGAGTGTTTGGGGTTGCTTAAAAAAGCGTTTTTCAACTTTTGGCTTAAAAAAAGTTGAAAAGAGTGTTTTCAAATGACAGTTTCTGCTTAAATTAATCACTTAAGAGCTAAAAGCTGGAAGCAGGTAGAATAGTGTTTTAAACTGCTTCTCACTTTTTCTATTACACAAAAAGTACTTATTTTACCAAACGCTACCAACTTTTACTTTTTTAGAATCACTTTTTTCTCAAACACTACCAACTTTTACTATTAATCACTTTTCCCAAAATCACTTTAAAAAATCACTTTTTTAAAGTTGAAGCAATTGCAAACACTCCCTAAATGATTTGGTAAAAAAGTGATTAATAGTAAAAGTTGGTAGTGTTTGAGAAAAAAGTGATTTTGAAAAGTAAAAGTTGGTGGTGTTTGGTAAAATAAGTGCTTTTTGTGTAATAGAAAAAGTAAAAAACAGATTCTAGCTTTTAACTTTTAAGTAATTCATTTAAGTAGAAGTTGTCATTTGAAAACATCTTTTTTAGCTTTTTTAAGTCAAAAGCTGGGAAGTGCTTTTTTAGTTGTGTTTGCAAATAGAGCCTTAGTTTTGTGTGACCCATATCTTTTACTCCGTAGTATAGTATATGAGCAAACTTAAATATTTTCACATGAGCAACGTGTGATTAAACATGAAAGCTGTAATTTATTAGAGAATAACTTACATATGAACTTCGTGGTTGCAAAGGATTTGTCATGAACAATTTGTGACATAATATGATAATCTAGTATGAAAATAACAAAAGCAACAAAATTATAAATACACCTTAAGTGCATTTCATTTACATTACCTGCTAACAATATTACAGTACGTATCTTCCTCGACCATACTACATATTTCAAAGACTTCACCTTCATTAAAGTACAATTTTTAGCGTTTGTGATAGTCTAAAAAACATACTGGTATAATTTTCCTCGACCATGAAGTTTCTATCTGTATGGGGACCTTTGATTCAGGGGCGGATCCAGCCCCACCATTTAGGTGGGGCCAAAATTTAATTAAATAACATATATTGCAAAAAAATGTCAAATGTAAAATAGTATGTTATTTGACAAGATTTATTTTCAAATATAAAATAAAATCTGTGGCAACATAAATGTCAAAGACAAAAATAAATATAACAGGAATAAGAATTTTTCTCGAATGGAAAAAACATCTCAAACTTATACATATTGAACTAATTTTCACCTATCAAATCAAATGAATTGAACAAATTAATTTTAAGGTTCATATTCAAAAAGCTAATAACGTTCACAATATTAGTATCTAGCTCATTTAACATTTGAGATCAATTGATTGCAAACTGAAGTAAAATTATAGATTTGATAAATTTTCACATCAGAGTGACTGATCAAAAGCAAATTAAATTTCAGGAATTCAGGGTGTGCATGGGTGGAGTGCTTTCCTGCTTCATGGCGGAAGGTTGCTTTTATAGCTGAACGTTGCCATACTTTTGGGAATGAGATACACTCGATCTCATACACTATGCTGCCACCCATTTCAACCAATAGAAACAAAGCAATCCAAATAGTGACTCAACCACATATCATGTATTTCACATCAATAGTGTGCACCTCTATTTTAAACCAATAGGAATACACGACAAATAATTCAGCTGTGCCCACCTTTTTTCCAACCAATAGAATTTGTCTAGATAATCATCTCTGAAATCTGCTTGCGTCATTGTAATACACCGTATCTTTAATTTTTGTAATACACCTTATGTTTAATTTAATGTTTTTACTAATGTTCTTGATGTTGACAGATTTGAGCGGGAACCCTATTCCAATTTTTTTTTCTTTTATATATTAATAGATTATTATTATTATTATTATTATTATTATTATTATTATTATTATTATTATTATTATTATTATTATTATTATTATTATTATTATTATTATTATTATTATTATTATTATTATTATTATTATTATTATTATTATTATTATTATTATTATTATTATTATTATTATTATTATTATTATTATTATTATTATTATTATTATTATTATTATTATTATTATTATTATTATTTCTTATTAGGGTTTTTACGAGAATATTACTAAAATAAAACTTATTTACATAAATATGACTATTCATTACTACTCTAGTAATGAATCATATTTTTGTAAACCATCTTTATTTTGGTCATATTTATGTAATTATTTCTTATTATTATTATTATTATTATTAATATTATTATTAATATTATTATTAATATTATTATTATTATTATTATTATTATTATTATTATTATTATTATTATTATTTATTATTATTATTATTATTATTATTAACATTGCAAAATCAGAGGTTGCCAAGTTTGAGCACCTGTTTAGGGAAGGAAATGTTTATGCAATAAGAAAAGTCTTGGTGCTAGACAACTATATGAAGTTCAAGACAACAAGGAATGCTTTCAAGTTGTTATTCGTCAACCGAACTGATGCCTTTGAAATCTCTAACATTAATTTTCCAATGAGGATGTTTGACTTCACATCTATAGCTGCCTTAAAAGATGCTGAAGTTATAGACGAAACCTATGCCATAGGTGATTTTTTAAAAATGAAAATACATTTTCTTTTATTGATTTTTTAACCATACTTATTCATTAATTTATAATCACATATAAATTAATACATTAATTCATTCATAGATGTGATTGGCAAGGTAACTTCCATGTCAGACCCAAAGGACCTAACAAAGAATGGTAAACAAACGAGGTTGCTTGATCTTACCCTCGGTGATGCCAAGTACGTATTATGAATATGTAAAAATAAACAGTTAGCTGTAATTTTCATTTTTGACATGCTTATTACATTTGTAGTGGAAATACAATTGCCTGCACTCTCTGGGAGAACATGGTAGAAGAGTTCATGGATTTTCTTAAAACAAAACCGAAGTCAATCACTCTTATTCTTCAACGCTGCCGTGCTAAAAAATTCCAGGGTATGTTGTAAAATGAAATACGATATTCGATTGGTTTGTTCTTAACAATGTATCTATTTAGGTCGGGTGGAGGTAACAAACATGTTCCATGTGACTAAGATGATACTGAATAGCAACAGCGAGGAGTGTGCAGCTTTCAATTCCACGTAAGATTTTTTTTAGGTAATCTTCGTTATCACAGAAAGCATTTCTGACATTAATCTATGCTATAATAATTAAATAACAGGTTCGGTCCAGATAATGATGACGGTGGGGATGCTTTAGCCATAGCTACTTTTGTTACCCCTTCTTTTCAAGATGACCTAACTGCTGGAAAAGTTCAGTTGGTATCAATTGCAGATCTAATGAAAATGGAAGAGGTTGTTATATATCATACACTTTGTATTACAAAATTTCTTACCTTATTTGATAGATTATAGTCTGATTAGAAGTTACTATATACTTATAATAATAGGATGGAAAACACTGGATCTATGGAGAGATATTGACAATAGACAGCTACAGAGATTGGTACTACATATCTTGCAGAGGGTGCAGCAGAAAGGTGTGTCCTGAAGGTGACAATTTCAGTTGTGGTGTGTGCAACACCAAAGAAGTAGTTCTAAGGTGAGAACGTTTCCTTTTTCAGTTTTTTAAACTAACAACCACATAGCATTTACAAAAAACTTTTCACATTTCAGGTACAAAATTAATGTTAGGGTGATGGATGAGACAGGTCATGCTTCTTTTGTATTTTGGGACAAAGAATGCTTTACTTTGGTTGGAAAAACTGCAAGTACTCTTCATGAGGAGATTGAACAGGTTTTCTGGACGAAACATAAAGTATTTATTGCTTACACATCTAATAGATCTATATATATTAATAAGTTTAAAAAATGGTGGATTGTACAGAAAAATGTTGGACCATATTATTTTCCAGTCGAGATTGATGCTATGGTTGAAACTAAGGGATTGTTTCGAGTGCAAACAAAGAAGGAAAACAAATACTACAAGGGTGTTCCTACATTTAGTGTAATTGGAATGAATTGTGATCCAACTGTTATCGCTTTATACAAGTATAAAGGAAAAGCAGTTGAGGAAGAAGATGATGCAGTTGAGGAAGAAGATGATTTCACACTACTTAGGAAGGAGTTTTCTGTCTCTGAAGAAGTATGTGTACTTATCATTTTACCTGTTTGGTTTACCTTTGTGTTTAAAATTAGATATTTAAATTCGATACTGATTTCAGGTCCTCATACCTGATGACGAGGAGACCAGCCCCCTACTGTCAAAAGAAAAAAGGAAGGAACTTGTGGTGAACTACAACGGCATCAAAAGGAAGCTGTTTGTTGAGCCCCCGCCTGTCAAGCCACCAAAGAAGCTGAAGAAGGTGAAAATGGAAAAGGAGTAATGATGTTTGAACAATGAAGAACTTTTTGCTAATGAAGAACTTCAAGAACAATGAAGAACTTTTTGCTAAGATGACGCATATCATGTATGCAGTATTTTCTATGTTTTTCTGTTAGTGCATTAGCATTTCAGAAAAATGTTTGCTGCCTGGAATAACTTAGGGATAAGTTTAGGTTATGTTACAAACTTTTGGAGTGGATTATTTTCTAGATAATCTATTTTGATCCTAAGTTTGTAATTTTTGGCATTTGTTGCCAAGTGTGATGTAACCTATTCGGAATGTATTGATATGTAAATTATGTTCTGTTTCCAGATTCTAAGATTCTTGGCTTTATATATTACAGCTAAACCAAAGTTCATGACTAGCTACATTAAACATGTAAAAATATTTGATGACTGCATGTATGCAACAAAGTATAGAGACAAGTTGGATTAAATATAAGCATTATAAATTTAAAATAAAAAGTTATATAATAGCTGTCAGGAAAACATTAGGCATTTGACCCTTTTAGCTTCAAGTCCATGTTAAAGTGAGCTACACAATGCTTTTAATATAATTATTCTCTTGACATCCACAAAATATATATATACCATCTCAATAAATGCAATTGCATTGAATAAATACCACAAAATAAAGGAATGGATTTGCGTAAGTGATTTCTGTGGTCAATATTCATCAACTATGCATTGGTGCATCACAAACTTTTGTACCATCGAAATTCATCAAGAAGTAGATTTACAAATTTGTATTCATACCTCGGTATCATGAATGGTGGGATGATTCAAAACCATACTCTGTAAAATTATACATTAAGCTTCATATCATAAAATATAAAACAAAGTAGAATTCAAATTGTATAAGCATACATTGCATAGCCATATATGCATTAAGCCCGTCACTAATATATTTTACGTAGATAAAGTGCATAATTGCATAATTATACATATATATATATAAAAGATATAATTTTATCCGTTTGAGATACGTTATGTGGAAATATAACACATAGTAGTCTAAATTTATTTTGAATTCGGTGAAGGATATTTGTTAACTTTAAATAATTTTTAGAATGTATAATGTGTTTCAGAATTACCCTTATTATGAAGGAGAGGCTTTAACAATATAATCATGATAACCCTAATATGATTTCATAATTAGATTATGATTAATATTTAATTTTAAAAATAAATAAATATTAATAGTAATTAATATTATTTAAATTATTATTAGTTATATTATTATATTTAATAAAAATATTAAATAATTTATAATATTTAAAATATAAATATAAATATATAAATAATAATTACATAATATTAGATTTTAATTGAATATCAATGTTATGAATAATATTAATAATAATTAATAGTATTAATAATTAATAATATTAAATTATTATTAATACTAAGTTACGAATAAATAAATATTAATAACAATTAATATTACTTAATGATTATTAATATTTAACAAGTCCTTATGAAGGAGAGGCTTTATAAATACAAATATGTGTCATATTTGGCCTCATGAGTATAACTAATAATTAATAATAATGACAATAATAATAATGATTAATTATTATTTAAGTATAAAAAAATAAAAAACTAATATAAAAAAAAATCATTTTTAAGAAGAAATTTTTTTTATGTATAATAATAATAAATTATTATGAAGGAGAGGCTTTAACAATATAATCATGATAACCCTAATATGATTTCATAATTAGATTATGATTAATATTTAATTTTAAAAATAAATAAATATTAATAGTAATTAATATTATTTAAATTATTATTAGTTATATTATTATATTTAATAAAAATATTAAATAATTTATAATATTTAAAATATAAATATAAATATATAAATAATAATTACATAATATTAGATTTTAATTGAATATTAATGTTATGAATAATATTAATAATAATTAATAGTATTAATAATTAATAATATTAAATTATTATTAATACTAAGTTACGAATAAATAAATATTAATAACAATTAATATTACTTAATGATTATTAATATTTAACAAGTCCTTATGAAGGAGAGGCTTTATAAATACAAATATGTGTCATATTTGGCCTCATAAGTATAACTAATAATTAATAATAATGACAATAATAATAATGATTAATTATTATTTAAGTATAAAAAAATAAAAAACTAATATAAAAAAAAAATTATTTTTAAGAAGAAATTTTTTTATGTATAATAATAATTAATTATTATTTAAGTATAAAAAGAATAATAAATCAATATTTTTTATTTTTATTAAAAAATAAAAAATAAAAAATGTTAATTACTATTACTTAATTAATATTAATATTAAAAAATATTAATACTTAAATTTATATTCAATAAAAAAATTAAAAAATTAATTTTTTTGTTATAAGTATATTGAAAGAACTATTATTATCATTGTTTAATTAGGTATTTATAATTTAAAAAATGAAGTCCTTAAAATTTATTATTAATATTAATACTATTAATATATCTCTATTTGTAAAATAGAGATTTATTTTTGAAATATATTTGGTACATTTTGGATTTACGTTTAATATTTTAAACGTATGATAAAAACTAAAAAATCAAATGTGTCTTAAAATGGTATACAGCTAAGGTATCCAGTTTACTGTTTGGTTAGATTTGGAAAAGCAGTTTTTGAGTTGTCATTATGAAAAGTCATCTTTTATAATCTTACTTTACTGATGGGGTTGTGTGAAAAAGCAGTAAGCATGCTAAAAGAGTACTCATTACCTGCTGTGTTTGTGTAAATATAATTATCTAAAAAACTGACACCAATTTAAAATGGTTTAGGAGTGTATAATGTATATATACGACCAGTGTATACAATATTTGTGATATTAGTTAAATGTCAGTAATATGCATATTTTTTAATATAGGACCAGGTACACTTCATTCAAACTCATATACTAAATGAAAATATAATTAATTGCCAAATGGTTTATACTAATTTTTTATAGTCTCCTTATACTGATAATAAATAGTAAATGTGATTAAATCGAAATAGCTCAAAAAGCATTCAGTATACATACAATTCAATGAAGTTACGTGCTGAATATATGATTTACATGATACTATTCATTTTATATGACCATATATAGTTTAGGGAGTAATAAAAAATATACGAGTAATATATAAGTGGAAAAGACTTTTTGGCAAAAGATATGACAAGTAGCGAAAGGATGTCACTATTATAAAATGAGCCGTTTTTGCAGAAGTCTGACATGACATGTAACCTTTTGGGTTCTATTTACTTAATCAGAACGTGTGCAAATACATGCTCTAATATCATTGGTCCCAAGGAGCCCTCATGTCAAGTACACAACTACAAAAAATTATACGAAGTATAAAGTACTCAGTATAATAATCCGTATATCTGTAACACTTTTAGATTATGTGCAAATAGACAACCAATGAGAAAATAGACAGCCGATAAGAAAAGTACAATAATTACATTGTGTTAGCCATTGAGTTTGATTTGACTCAGAAAACCCCTTTCAACACATGTGATATGACATGTTAAAAAAGTGATTTTACTTTTAAAAAGAGAGCCGTCTTAGCAAGAAAGATCAAATTTGACATGTGAGGGTGTGGTCTCAATTTACTTGGAATAGTGACACATACGGAGTAGAGAAGATTCTACTATAAATAAAGCATTTACCCTCTCACATTGTCATGCCTTGCAGATCAGTTGATAGCCATACCAAAGAAGTATTGCTTTGAAGTTTGTTGTGTGCCTGCATCAGGTGAATTTTGTAGAAAAATTTATGACTATTTATTATTGATCACAAGTGCATCTAATGATAACTAACTTTTGGTTAAACTTTTTTCCTGGAACATTCACTTAAATAAATGTCACCTACTACTTTGTTTGAAAATATAACAAATAAGACATACATACCCAATTTCTATCCAACTAAATATCCCTTTTCCCTGAAATTTCAAGTTCTAACAGATGGGAACAACAAATGCATATTTATTTTGTGGTGTTTGTGGAAGCCGTGAATGGGGACACCTGATCATCAAGTGTGCAGTGTGCTCAAATGCAGAACACCGGTACTGTATGAGGAAGGTCCTATTTCATGATGATGCATGGCTGTGTGATGAGTGTTTAAGTTATATTTATCCCATGGATGAACTGAATTCCTTTGAGAAAATAACCGAAATTAAGCATGAAGTTGTTCAAATGGAGGATGATCAACCATTTATACCTCATGTTAAAGAAGAGGTTGTTGAAATGGTTGATGTCCAGCCATTTAGAACTAAGGTTAAAGAGGAAGTTGAAATGGCAGATATTGAGCCATTAACAACTCCTTTTGGAGTAGAGATGGTTGGAATGGCTGTTACCAATCCTGTGCCTGAAGAGCTCATCCAGGACTTATTTGGGATGTCAGTAAGCCCACCGACTCCTAGGCGTTCTCCCCGTAAGAAAAAGCTTAACCAAAAGTATTTTTCCCAGGAGATGGTGGTAAACATGAACTTTAATTGGCTGACTGGGGAGAACGAAGATTGATCTCAAGGGCATAATGAACTGAAATATCTACTACTCTTAGTTTTTTGATAAGGCGTGTTTCTGAAACAGCCTGTGCGTAGCTTATGTTTTGGAATAAGTTAAAGGGTGTGGCTTTTAATGTCTTTTGTGAATTTTCAGAACCCATTTCATGTATCATGTTTTGAAAATCTATGTATGATGAGCCCTGAAGCTCCTGTTAAGTATTGTTGTTGATTAATGCATGTATTTGTAATATTTGTGTATTCCAAAAGTTGATGTGTTATTTCATTCCTATGTGGCAAATTCCAGATAAAGAGAAACACGTGTCAAGGTCAAGTCCCTAACTATGCCTAAGCTCATTAAATCCACAACAGTAGGTCCAAAGAGAAGGCCTGTGTCAAACAATGCTTCCGGTAAATCTAATTTTACTGTTTGGTTGTAAATGAAGTATCAGTAACTCATATATATTCAATCAGATTTTAAAAACGAGTGTAAAAATATACATAGTATAGGATCATGCTTGTGACAAGAAATATTAACTGATATTTGGTATGTCTGTCAGTGTGTATTAGTATAACTGATATAGTTAGGTGTAACATCTCAATGTACTTTAAGATAATGTATGTATTTTAGATAGAGAATACTTTGGCTTTACAATTTAAAATATAGGGTGGACAATGTTTTTTAGGGACAACACTAATAATAAGAAGTAGGTGAAAGAACAAGGCTTTGTAGCAGTAATAATAATATAAACCAAGGTGAAGGATCAATGTTACTACCCAATTAAAGAGTATCCTAGATTGCCCTCATTTGTTGTTGATGATGATAAGAGTAAAACTAGGGAAGAATTTACCCAATAGGCAGCACTTCATTTCTGGTATTAACTGGAACAACACTTCATAAGTCTCAAATTTGATCACCTAAAAAACCAAGAGTAAGTACCGAAATAACCATTTCTGTTGGGAGTATTTGTTAAGGTCTCCTGATCACAAGTTAGTGGAATTGATTATATAGATAGCAGATTATCAGAAATGCCCACAACAGATATGAATCATAGTATATAAAACATACCGCATCACACAACACCTGCTATTTGCATTCATCTTCTTCCATTAAAACTTAAAACATGCGCTAGGCTTATGTTTTAAAATTAACTTCGGAATAGTGAGCTGTTTAATGGTTTAGGAAAATGAAAATAATATTTAATAGACGTTGATTTGAAACACCTGTAATCTGTTTCAACAATTTCAGTAAGTGAATCTTAGAATATGATATTGGAAATGACTTGGATTGGCAAGACTAATAAGAAATATTGTATTGGAATAGATTATATAGAAACCAGATTAGCAAAAACTGTTAAAAGAAAAGAATGATAGAATATAGAAATTCCAGTAGAAAAGAACACGTGGTATTTAAACCGTTTTTCAATTACATATTAAAAGATGGAATCGGGGCTTGAGTTCTGAAATGAACTTAAAAGGAGTTGGGTAATTAATAGCTTAAAAATTAAAACATAATTTAATGAATGTTTATTTGAAAAATATGACACTCGAGTTTATAATATGAATGAAACTTTTTTTTAATATTGGATTACAAAGGCCAAACAAGCCAATAGCTTGATTGATTTAATTGGATAATGTTAATTATACATAAAACAGCGATAGAGTTTACCCTGGGATATAGGCTGCATTCCAATCATTTTGGGATTAAATTGTACACCACCACATAAAACTCATGTTTTGATACCTACAAAAGAGGCAACGATAAGGACAAAGTTAACCAAATCTATCGGTCAAAGTTATGAAAGGGTCACTTTATTAGAAGGTAAGAGGGATTGCCAATATAGATGCAAGATTTGCCGAAAAATAGTCAAAGAAGATAAAAACTATAGAACACAGGTCTTGCTATAGATAACCACACCTACCGTAAAGAAGTAGAACTTCATCCATTTCAACTTAAAACATGGTTTTGACGCTGAAGTTTTGAAGAAGAAAAAAATTGGACTTGGTTCTTCATTAACTGATTAAAAAAACATTATTTGATAGATGTTGATTTTACATAATACATATTTTTGTGTAATTTTTTAATAAAACTCTCTAATAACATTGTATTTGAAAGCCATTGGGTTGATAGTTTTATTGATTTTGTTGGTTAATGTTATTAAAAGAAACAAAGTGACACACATTACCTTATAAGCAGGATTCCTATCATTCCTCGGATTAACTGGAACAACACTTTCTAAATCTCCAGTTTGTCAACCTACACAAGAATCAAATATAAGTACATGAGGTGCCAACTCTACTTCAAGTATTCGTGAGAGCCACCAGATTAAACCTTAGAATAAATGATTATATATATATACCACATATGCAGAATGTAATACTACTATAGCACAAAACAACAGCTATTTAAATTCATCTTCTTCCATTTAAACTTCAAACATGGGTTCAAGGCTTATGTTATAAAAATAACTCCAGGGTGCTGATGTCTTTAATGCATTGGACAAATGAAACCATTATTTGATAGTTATTTATTTTTAAATTCAGTGATTTGAGGGAATAATTTCCCCAAATGGTTAGTACTTAAGACTTATAAACAGATCTGGCCAAAATATAACAAAATAAACTTGAGAAATGGATCTGGCCACTGTCAATAGAAAGAAAACTTTACATGATCATATTGTCATTGTTAAAATTGATCCATTTCATTGATATACTTTTACAATTGGTTTTCGCAGATTTTGAATTTTCATATATGTGAAATAATACATTGAGGGAATCATTTTATAATGATAGATTTCAGTTCAGGTTTGCGTATGCCTAATGAAATTGCATGTTTTTATAAATCCGTACTCTATATGACAGGAACTGAGGTCTTCAATGGATTTTGGGTAAATCAGTGAAATAAATAGTTAATGAAAAGTATTGACTATAATTTTGAAACACATGTAATCTGTTTGAACAATTTCAATAAGTGAATCTTAGAATATGATATTGGAAATGACTTAGATTGGTAAGACTAATAAGAAATATTGTATTGGAATACATTATATAGAAACCAGATTAGCAAAAACTGTTCAAAGAAGATAAGAATGATAGAATATAGAAATTCCAGTAGAAAAGAACACGTGGTATTTAAACCTTTTTTCAATTACAGATTTAAAGATGGAATCAAGACTTGAATTCTGAAATGAACTTAAAAGGAGTTGGGTAATTAATAGCTTAAAAATTAAAACATAATTTAATGAATCTTTATTTGAAAAATATGACACTGGAGTTTATAATATGAATGAAACTTTTTTTATTTTTGGATTACAAAGGCCAAACAAGCTAATAGCTTGATTGATTTAATTGGATCATGTTAATTATGCATAAAACAGAGATAAAGTTTACCCCAGAATATATGCTACATTCCAATCATCTTGGGATTAAATTGTACACCGCCACATAAAACTCATGTTTTGCCACCTACAAAAGAGGGAACGATAAGCTAAAAGTTAACCAAATCTATCGGTCAAAGTTATGAAACGGTCACCTTATTAGAAGGTAAGAGGGATTGCCAATATAGATACAAGATTTGCCGAAAAATAGTCAAAGAAGATAAAAACTATAGAACACAGGTCTTACTATAGATGACCACACCTACTGTAAAGAAGTAGAACTTCATCCATTTCAACTTTAAACATGGTTTTGACGCTTAAGTTTTGAAAAAAAAAAAACTGGACTTGGTTCTTCATTAACTGATTAAAAAAAACATAATTTGATAGATGTTTATTTTACAAAATACACATTTTTGTGTAATTTTTTAATAAAACTCTCTAATAACATTGTATTAGAAAGCCATTGGGTTGATAGTTTTATTGATTTTGTTGGTTAATGTTATTAAAAGAAACAAAGTGACACACATTACCTTATAAGCAGGATTCCTATCATTCCTCGGATTAACTGGAACAACACTTTCTAAATCTCCAGTTTGTCAACCTACACAAGAATCAAATATAAGTACATGAGGTGCCAACTCAACTTCAAGTATTCGTGAGAGCCAACAGATTAAACCTTAGACTAAATGATTATATATATACCACATATGCAGAATGTAATACTACTATAGCACCCAACAACAACTATTTAAATTCATATTCTTCCACTTAAACTTCAAATTTGGGTTCAAGGCTTATGTTATAAAAATAACTCCAGGCTGCTGATGTCTTTAATACCTTGGACAAATGAAACCATTATTTGATAGCTATTTATTTTTAAATTTAGTGATTTCAGGGAATAATTTCCCCAAATAGTTAGTAGTTAAGACTTATAAACAGATCTGGCCAAAATATAACAAAATAAACTTGAGAAATGGATTTGGCCACTGTTAATAGAAAGAAAACTTCACATAATCATATTGTCATTGTTAAAATTGATCCATTTCATTGATATACTTTTACAATTGGTTTTGACAGATTTTGAATTTTCATATATGTGAAATAATAAATTGAGGGAATCATTTTATAATGATAGATTGCATTTCAGGTTTCCGTATGCCTAATGAAATTGCATGTTTTTATAAATCCGTACTCTATATGACAGAAACTAAGGTTTTCAATGGATTTTGGGTAAATCAGTAAAATAAATAGTCAATGAAAATTATTGGTAGACTTTATCCAATTTCAAAAAAATCATAGAATGACAAGACTTCGTATTACACTATATATGTGCATTTCAATCGAGGCTACAAAGATCTAAATCAACAAACCCATCAAACGAACACAGAAGATATTGAATGAACGGTGTCTTGCAGATTGCAAGTGGCCGTCCTCTGGTGGGTCTGACGGTTGTTAACTATGGCCTTTTAACATATGTAATCCCCTTCCCTTAACTGTCCGATCTGAAAGCACACATATAACAAATCATGAATCAGGTTGATCTTAACTGTACAACAAATATTACCAGGGCATAAGAAGAAAAATACTCATCTTTTTTAAAGACACTTGAGAGGTTGAGCATGTTTATAGCTTAATTATGCACAGGGGCGTTCGAAGATTGAGGTTCACTTCAGAATACAAACGAATCAATAAGTACCGTAGATAATGTTTAAGAGAACGTCGTATTTGGGCAAAAGGAATCGGTACTTACCCATGAAATATTGAAGGCTCTGTTGTTCGTGGAGATCGGTCGTCGGTGCGAAGGATCTGTTCGTGGAGATCGGCCGTCGGTGTTTCAGTGCTGTGAGATGGAGAAGCCAGAGATGAGAGATGTTGGAGGCGGCGTGAAGTAGAAAGCCAAACCCTACAGGCGTAGGAGTATATACGGGCGACCAAATGCCGGACCCGGTTATGTTTGTGTGATGGGCTAATTTTGAATGGGTTAAAAATATTTGTGGTGGACCCTATAATAAATTAGGAGCCCGTTTGGTAGTACGAAAATCGGCTGATTTAGTTATTCTGCTAAAATTTATGATGTTGTGACTAAATTGGCTGCATTTGCTGATTTTGATGATTTAACGAAAAAAAAGTTTAAATGTAAGATATGAATGAAATTTAGAAAAATATATGGAAAAAATGCTAAAATAATCATCTACAGTAACTTCATGCAATACAGTCAGAAAAGTATCTTCAATCTTATTTTTACTGTTTATTACACAATTCAGCGCGTGAAAGCAAGAGTTACATGTTTGGTGAAAATTTTGGTTGATAAGCCTGATAAGCCAACAAACAGTGCTAACAAACGGCCTCTAGAATTCAAATGGCCGACAAAATCGGGATTATCCTACCAAAATATTTGGATATTTCCAAATTATTTTTCTAAAGTTATAAAAAAATCATTTCTCAACAATGTATTCTTTTACAGAATTCATTTTATTAGTTTATATTGAACTTATGGGGATCAAATTTCATTATTGATGTTTTACTCATTAAAAATTTTCATATAAGACATTAGAAGAGTGTGTATCAGCGTCATAAGAAAGAGGTGCTTAGAATAATAAAGTTAAAATATGTTAGCCACTTTTTTTTGAAAAATTAATATTGGCTCATGAAATTACCCACTCAAATATATACACACATAATTGTGTGGATGTGTGCATTATGCAGTTTACGCAATATTTTTTGGGAAATGACAAATTTCAAAAAAAAAAATATATGATTTATAGTTTTTTAATTTTTTTAAAAATTGATATGTGTTGTTTTCGATAAATACGATAGTGTTACATTTCTTACTAATGTGGCTAACCATACTTTTTTCACGCAGAGGATATTGACAACGAGCGTGATGTAAATCGAAGAGTTTTGCAAAACGCTCGATTTCAACAATCTCTTCGGGACAGTACTACAGCATCTATAAAGCCTATAACTTCTGCTACTTTCCCTTTGGTGGATGTAACTAATGGTAAATTTATCAAGATGCTTTCGGCTTACTATCTTACACCAATGATTAAACTAATTATACTTTTTGATTATTTTATTAACCAATATTGTGTAATAATAATGCAGTCTTGGTGGCAAGCGCTCAACCACCAGCGTCAATTGTACTCTCCAAACCAACGCCTATTATGAGTCCAAATCTGATTCAAAAGAGATCATGCGATCTACCATCTACGTCGGTTTCGTCCAATCACCCAGACAATATCTTGCACGACACTAATGTTGCTTCTTGCAGTTATTTCACGCAAGATTTGGATATCGATGATGTGGACGTAGACGATGCATATGTGGATTATGAAGATCTAAAGAGTATTAACGATGAATCATCTATTGGTTGGTTTTCTATAAAATTTAAATTTTAAATTAAAGTTTTGAAATTATATGTGCTTTTTAAATTTTAGAATTTATTATTTAAATTTATTTATTTCTTTATTTATTATTAATTTATTTATATAACTTAAATTGTGTTGACATTGGTTATCGTATTTCAGAGTTATGGGACATTGGTGATCCAAATTGTGTCTGCCCATTCTGTGAGGCACTTTTTTGGTACGAAGAGAGGATTGAATCGAGTTCTACAAAAATGAACCCGAAGTATTCCCTGTGTTGCTCACAGAATAAGGTACAACTTCCCGTCAACAAAGAACCACCGTTGTTGCTTCAAAGGTTGATGGATGGAACAGATGCTAGAAGCAAGCATTTTCTAGAAAATATAAGATCTTACAATAGCATGTTTGCATTCACATCAATGGGTGGTCGGATTGAAACGGCGATAAACAAAGGAAGGTCTCCCCCAATTTTTAAACTTCACGGTCAAAATTATCACCTTATTGGAAGTTTAATGCCCACAATTGGATCGACTCCAAAATTCGCACAGTTGTATATCTATGATACAGAAAATGAGATACAAAATCGGATCAAGTCTGTTAGGTAACTTTTGTGCAACAATTTTAATTTCTTATTCTATTTGACTTGTGAAGATGTCTAAATTTATCAACGCAGATTGCTTTGATTTGTTCAGGGGAGCTGCTGATACTGACCAATTACATGTTAAAATTGTTGAGGACTTAAGAAACATGTTGAATGAGCACAATGTTTTGGTCAAATCATTTAGAATGGCTAGGGAAACGATTCATCGAGGTGAGAGTTGTGACGTGAGGCTAAGGTTGATAGGTAAACGAAGCGGCGATGCAAGAACGTATAACCTACCAACTGTATCAGAGGTTGCTGCTTTAGTTGTTGGGGATTTTGATGAGTCTATGGGAGATAGAGATATTGTGGTGGAGAACCAAAGCGGAAAGCTACAACGCATTAATGAACTTAATCCAGCATATTTTGGCTTGCAGTATCCTTTGTTATTTCCGTTTGGTGAGGATGGTTACCGAGAAGATATTGCACTTTCAGGTTCTAAAGTTGTCATTGGCTCAGGAAGACGCAATGTTAGTATAAGGGAGTTTCTGGCTTATCATTTGCAAGAGAGGGAATACAGATATTCCATTACTTTGAAGGCTAGAAGACTTTTCCAACAATTTGTCGTTGATGGCTACACTTTGATAGAGTCTGCAAGATTGAAGTACATTAGAACACATCAAAAGCAACTTCGTTGTGAAATGTACAAGGGCTTGAGTGACGCTGTTTTGCGCGGGGAGAGTGATCCTGCGACTCAAGGAAAAAGAATTGTGTTGCCCCCAACTTTCACTGGTGGTGCAAGATACATGATACAAAACTACCAAGATGCAATGGCTATTTGTAGATGGGCGGGGTATCCAGATTTATTCATCACGCTGACATGCAACCCAAAGTGGCCTGAGATTGAACGTTTTTTGCATGGTAGGAATCTCAAGTCTGAAGATCGCCCAGATATCATATGCCGAGTATTTAAGATAAAGTTGGATGGTCTTATGAAAGATTTGCGACGTAATAGGGTGTTTGGGAGTGTTAAAGCAGGTACATTTCAAACTGAACATACCTCGGTTTTAACCATTATTAAATGTCGTAGTAATTTTTCAAATTACCTTTTGCAGTGGTGTACACTGTGGAATTTCAGAAGCGAGGATTGCCTCATGCACATATACTATTGTGGCTAGCAAATGAGGATAAATTGCCAACTTCAGCAGACATTGATAAGGTTATCTCAGCTGAAATTCCCGATAAAGACAAGGACCCACGATATTACAATGCAGTTCGTGATTTTATGATGCACGGACCGTGTGGTCCATATGTTAAGTCTGCTCCATGTATGGCTGATGGCAAGTGTACGAAACATTTCCCTAAGAGTTGGTGCGATGTTACGTCTATTGACGGTGATGGATATCCAGTTTATAGACGAAGAGACGATGGTAGGACCATTGAGAAAAATAATATTCCTCTTGACAATAGATTTGTGGTTCCGCACAATCGTTTTTTGTTGATGAAATATGGCGGTCATATCAATGTGGAGTGGTGCAACCAATCCTGGTCCATCAAGTACTTATTTAAGTACATCAATAAAGGACGTGATCGTGTCACGGCAGGTTTTTTTAATAGTGCAGGTGCAGATGAAGGGAGCAAACCTGTGGATGAAATCAAAATGTATTACGACTGTAGGTACATATCTCCGTGTGAGGCTGCATGGCGTATATTGGGATTTGAGATTCAATATAAAAATCCACCAGTTGAACGCCTTAGTTTTCACTTGAAAGGAGAGCAAACTGTGATCTTCTCAGACAATGAGCCTCTTGATTTTGTAGTTGCTGGGAGGAGTGTTAAAGATAGCATGTTTTTGGGGTGGATGGAAGCTAACAAAAAATACGAGATGGCGAGAGAAATGACATATGCTGAATTTCCTCAGAAATTTGTATGGAAAAAGGGTACGAGGGAATGGGTTCCAAGAAAGAAGGCATTTTCTATTGGTCGGATATACTATGTTCCACCAGGATGTGGGGAGTCTTATTATATGAGGTGTTTATTGAACCATATTCGGGGAGTGACGTGTCATGAAGATTTGAGGACTATAGGCGGTGTGTTATATAATTCATACCGTGAAACTTGCTATGCTTTGGGGCTTTTGGACGATGATAAAGAATTTGTTGATGGTTTTACTGAGGCAAGTGATTTTGCGACAGCATTTGCACTAAGGATACTCTTCGTCATATTGTTGTGGTCAGAATCCATGAGTCGACCAGAATTTGTTTGGGAGAAGTGTTGGATATACATGGCAGAAGATATTCAATACAAATTGCGTAAAAAGTATCAACATCCAGGTATATTAATACAACTATTTTGTTATCTATCATTAACACATTAAACCATTGGTTCGTGCTAATTTGTTCTCTGCATTGATTTGATTAGTGGTTGAAATGACATTCCATCTTTTCATGTCATACAGGGTTTGTAATGGACAATGATCAATTGCAAATGGCGGCATTAACGGAGGTGGAGATGTTATTGCAACGACGAGGGAAGAGTTTACATGATTTCCCTCCAATGCCATGTCCAAAGTCAGACTCAACTTACCTTTCCAATAATAGATTTGTTGAAGAGGAACTCCAATATGATCGGCAGGCGATGCATCAAGAACATAATACCTTGCTTCAAGGTCTAACAGATGAACAACGTGTTGTTTATGAAAAGATCATGCATTCTGTTGAAACGGAATGTGGAGGGATGTATTTTGTTTATGGATATGGTGGAACTGGGAAAACGTTTGTATGGAGAACTATATCCGCTGCATTGAGGTCCAAAGGGGACATTGTATTAAATGTGGCATCAAGTGGCATTGCTTCTCTACTACTACCCGGAGGGAGAACCGCGCACTCGCGTTTTGCAATTCCGATCAGTTTGAATGAAGATTCAACTTGCAATATAAAACAGGGTAGTCCTTTAGCAATATTAATCATTAAGTGTAAGTTAATCATTTGGGATGAAGCTCCAATGCTCCACAAATTCTGTTTTGAGGCATTGGATAGAAGCATGCGTGATGTGCTCAGATTCACGAACCCAAATAGCCTAAACTTACCATTTGGTGGTAAGACAATTGTTTTGGGAGGAGACTTTCGACAAGTGCTACCGGTAATACCACAAGGTAGTAGACAAGACGTTGTTAATGCAACAATTAATTCATCTTATCTATGGGGGGAATGTACTGTTCTTAGATTAACTAAGAACATGAGGCTCCAAAATGTCAGCAGTCCTGCAGAATCCTATGATTTGAAGGCTTTTGCCGATTGGATTGCAAGCATAGGTGATGGATTAGCTGGGGATTTGAACGATGGTTGTGTCTCTATTAAAATACCCGATGACATCCTTATCAAATACACCGGAGATCCAATTGCTAAGATAGTGGAGGTCATTTATCCTGATTATCTAAAATCAAGTACAGATTTGAGTTACTTGAGAGATAGAGCTATTCTTGCTCCAACCCTTGATGTCGTTGATTCCATCAACGACTACATGACAAGTTTGAATTCCAAGGAAGTTGCTAGAACATATCTTAGTTCAGATAGTGTTTGCAAATCTGATTCAACACATGATCTTATAGCAGAGTTGCACACTACAGAATTCTTGAATAGTATTAAACTCTCTGGTGTGCCAAATCATAAGTTAACTTTGAAAGTCGGTACCCCGGTCATGCTTTTGCGTAATATTGATCACTCCTTGGGTTTGTGTAATGGAACAAGACTCATCATAACAAAGATGTGTGATCACATCTTAGAGGGAAGGGTCCTCAATGGTATTAGTGCAGGACAAAAAGTCTTAATACCGCGATTATCTTTGACACCGTCTGATGTTAGGCTGCCATTTAGATTTCAAAGGAGGCAATTCCCTATTATGACTTCTTATGCAATGACCATCAATAAAAGTCAAGGCCAGTCACTCACTCACGTCGGTCTCTTACTAAAAAAACCAGTTTTCAGCCATGGTCAATTGTATGTTGCCGTCTCAAGAGTTACCAATCGTGAAGGTCTCAAAATCCTCATCCAAAACGAAGATGATTGTCCAATGAATGAAACCATGAATGTTGTCTATAAAGAAGTGTTCCATAATCTCTAATATTTCATATTGTATTAGAATCACATTACATGAATGTTGTCTATGGATTACATATTACAATTTCATTTCTTAATCGTCACAATTTAAGATATTTAAATTTATTTCCAATTAGACTTTAAAATCTAACAGTAATAATATCCATCCAACAAACTCCTGCACCGTGCATCGCACGGGTGCTGTACTAGTTGTATGTAAAGAACTATCGTTTTTTGTTTTTTTTTTCATAGGCTCCCCTGCCTCTAACCCTCCACGCTGCCACCTATAATAAGAATCTTAGTTTAGAAGCTTCGCTTTGCAGACAGTTGTGTCTTCTCCTTCTCGCAGGTCGGCAAGTATCAGAAAAAGGAAAAATAAAGCAAATGTTTGGCGGCCCAGGAAAAATCAGCGGGGTGATATTGCGGACGTTACAGGGAACTTTTGCGGCGATTGCCCTTGGTATTTTAAGTACTGTTCCTGGATTTTCTTTGATTACTCCCATGTGGTAATGCTCCTTCTTATGCTCCATATTGCTCTGGCTTTTTGAATGAAATGCATGTTAATTATTACTCGGTATTAGATATTGTGAAGTATTATTTTTTGACTTTGTATTTATTTGATCAGCTTCCTACTAGTTCAACAGTGTGTTCAAATCATATGGTGCTTTATACTTATATGCCTTGACCTCAAAGTCTTGGTGTCGGGGGGAAGGCTACCGACCCCTATCCATATGATGGTGAACATTGCTTTTGATTGGGTAATCTCTTCACTATATTATGTCATAAGTTCTCTTTTTTGTTAGACATTTTTAATTTTGGATTAGATAATTACTAATATGCAAATTGAATTTATGCATTCATGCAGTGTATATGGATGTTATCTCTTGGAGCTTCATCCGCAGCCGCGTCCGTGGTTGATGTTTTCTGGGCCCAATCCATGTGCCAAAAGTGGGGAGAGTATACCTGCAGACGTTACCATGCAGCGGTTGTCATGGCCTTTATTGCTGTGGCATTCCAAGCAATCTCAGTTCATATTTGGATGTGGATTGCAGCCAGGGACGGATCCAGGATTCTGTGTCAAGGGGGGCAAAATTTTTCGTTAGTGTAGGGGGTGAATTTTTTTTTGTTAGTGTAGCGGGGTGAAATTTTTTTCCCTAGTATAGCGGGGCGAAATTTTTTCGCTACTGTAGGGCTATGCGGCTATTTTTATTCAAAAAATGACATTAATACATGCACATCCCGAACGACATTTAAATCTATTACATTCTAAGTTTAGACGATGACAAAGACATCAACCAATACATTTTCAATAACTTCAACATTGTTTAACCTCATGAATCGGTTATTGAATTGTAATTTTTGTCCACCAAGGAGAGTGTTCGTGAGTCATGACTCATGAGAAGTTTTCTTAATATTACAATAGTAGTATACTAGTATGTATGGGATTGTTATTTTTAGAATAATATGCACCACATACACACACACACATATATGGTGCATATTATATTTTAATATTTTTATTAATTCTATAATAATTTAGAGTTTATTATCCATGCAATAAATTATTTTTAGAAAGCAAGAAGTAAATGAATTATGTAATCTAATGTCTATAAATATTTATATTTTGGATTCATTTCACGTGATCTAAAAATTGTGTAATTAGTGTGTCTGGTATTTAATATTGTTTGATATATGTTTTACGAAATCCAGTACTTGTTATCTAATAAAGATAATTAAACATTACAAAACTAGGAATTCTTATATAATAAGTATCCTAAATCATAAATAACGAGTTACTCTATTGTTTATTTGTTTAAGTTATGTAAATTATTTTAGATGTTTCTTCTTTTAAATCTCCAATTAAGTATTACATTATATAAGACTATATATATTAATTTTGAAAATTAAAAGCTAAGGGGGGCGAATCTAATTAAATTATGAAAGTTTTATGAAAATATTACATATATGGTAAAAAAAATTGAATGTCCAAGGGGGGCGGTCGCCCCCCGCGCCCCCCTAAATCCATCCCTGATTGCAGCCTCCTCCTTTTTGTGAGCCTTTCTTTCTCCAGCTACCGATTATAGGCATGCATGTGCTCTACATACATACGTATATGTGATGAATATATATTGATGGAGCATTACCTATTTATACACTTATTCTCCGTACTTATTTATTGAGACTCTATTCAAAAGTATTACTAGTATTAGGGTTGGTTTGCAACTACTTTTAAAAAAACACTTCTCAGCTTTTGGCTTTAAAAAAACACTTATTTTCCCAAACACTACAACTTTTATTTTTCTCGGCTTCCGCGTCAAAAGTGCTTTTACTTTTTCTATTACACAAAAAGCACTTATTTTACCAAACACTACCCACTTTTACTTTTCAAAATCATTTTTTTTCTCAAACACTATTAACTTTTATTTAATCACTTCTCCCCATTTCATTAAAAAATACATTTTTTTAAAAACAGAAGCGGTTGCAAACAGACCCTTAATAGTTACTAGTATTACAATATGGTCGTATATATATAGCCACTTAAATGTATAATTAAACATTACTTGCATGACTAAAGTTACTACGGAGTACTACGTATTATACTACGTTTATGATTAATTAATGATTTTTTGCTTTTTGTTTGGCAAAATTAACAGGCCCATGCTGCATTAACCGTCGGCGCGTGCTCGTTGCTCCATTTTCCATTGCGGCTTATTATTTGTTTTATTATTTCACCGATTCAAGTAATTTACGCCCAAGTATTTAGTAATCAATGTATTAGAAGTAGCTTAATTAGGATGGTTTTGTATTTTAATTGTATTTCTATCGTGTACAATTTTATTGTAATAATATAAATCTTCTCTCATGTGAGTTTCATATTCGAAAGTTTGATCGTTTTTAACTTTTTACCACCGGGTGAATGTGTGAATATATTGTCCACATAAATTAGAATACAAATTACGTAGTACTATATTATGACTTTATGGTGGAGGACAAATAAAGTAGGAAACTCATTACCCATTACTTTAGTGGCTCTTTGGAGGACAAAATATGGGCTTATAAGCCTCAAAGTTGGAAAAAAATGCCAAACCCCCACTAAATGAGTTACTTTAATTTGGCTGATTATTCTTATCAGCAGAAATGAGTACTTTTTTAGTTGAAATGGGTTATGTTACTGGCTAATTAGAAGACCATTTTATCCTTTGTTAGAGCAACCACATTGTTTAGATTATTTAGAGATTAATTTGATAATGTGACTGATTAGTTTGAGATTATGATTGAGATAAAGAAACTATTTGCAAAGATTATTTATAAAAAAATCCAGCATCAAAATTTCAAACCAGATTATTTTAAATGATTTATCCAACATAAATGATTGGAAATTTTCTAGGATATCACTAAAACTTTATGAGTTTCTCGATATATGACCTAACTTATATTTAAACTTTTGTATGACCAAAAATCCAAAAAAAAAAAAAATAGAAAATCCCGTTCACATTTAAATGTTGATTGACCAAATACACTTAATTAAAAAATGTGCATTTTACACTATTTTTGTCCAATTAAAATAGTGCACTTTATACTGCAGTTAGTTACTGCACGATATTACTGCACATCCGGTAACATTTCACTGCACTTCCGCCAATAGTAATTCTCTTCTCATCCGCTTTAAGAATTTATTTATAGTTCTTTTTATATTTTTGTTAGATTTAATAATATTTGTATTTCACGTCCAATTAGATGTATTGCATTTCATGGAGGCATTATTAGACCTCGACTTTTGATGAAAAATCAAAGTAAAAGGACCGAAAATGTCAATTTCATAATACTTAGAATATGAAAGGTCGAGAATTCTAAAGTCGAGGATCAAAAGTTTATCACTAACAAGATATTGACCAATTTGTCACTAGACCTTTTTTTACCAATCTGTCTAATGACAAATGTCAATTTGTTTTTACCAATTTCGTAATTTGGCCATGACAAGCATGCATACATAACGACATATTATCACGTGATGAAAAGTTGATTCTTTTCGAAATATACGTGATCAAAAGTTAAAAATGTTGCTATTTATAACCAGAGAAATGAAAAAACGTGCGCCACTAAATAACTTATTATCCCTAAAGTGCCTGCATTTAACGTCTCCCTAGTCGAGTAGTCCCTACCATTATTCACATGAAATTGTTTTATATAGAGCCGTTTTTAACAAATATGAAGTGATGTAGGGCTAAGTGGCTAACGTACGAAAGTCGTTTCCAAAGGGCGAAAAAATGAATGAAGAATTAAATAAATCAGGGAATAAAACTAAATAAATAAAATAAATGCGAGGTAAAAGATTTGGATTTTTAGAAAATTAAATGCGAAAAAATAGCTAAATCAAAAGTTCTTTCTAATTAATGACAAAAGGGTGATAAAAAAAAAGTTAATGACAAAAGGGAACAAGGATTTATTCCGAGGTAATCAGATTTTGGGAGCGATCAAGCTTAATCACATGAAAATTATTTAACTGAGTAACGCTGATCAAAACTAAGTTCTTAACGTTCTAGCGGCGCAGAATACAATAATTCAGGAAATCAGACTGGTCTCTCATGAGACAAACCTCCCTAACTGTTACTAATCTCTTAGCGAGTGATTAAGCGTGTGTGAAAGTGTCCTAGAATAAATTAGATTTCTCTTAATTTATTCTATGTGCAATTATAATGCCAGCTGCAGTTCTAGGTTACAAGAGATATCAATTAAATCATTATATTCAAACACAAATTAATTAAAGATCATGCAATTAATTTATCAAAAAATTAACCCTAGATCATGATTAACTACTCCAACAATCCCAAATCCCTAATTAAAACTACTCACAAATCATAAGTGCATTAACAATAGAATTGAGAAGGAAAGAATTAATTGTCATTAGTTAAAAAAAATATAGTACAATAGAATTGATGAATTAATTGTCACTAATTAACTGCCGCAAGTCGTTCCCAAAGGAAAGATGTTTTCTTTTGACTGAAATTTGTTGATCCGGTCTAGCCCGGTATGATTTGGGTCTAGTCTGATCTGGTAAACGTTTGATCTTTAATTTGTGTATTTTATAAATATGGAAGTTTGATCTAGTCTGATTTGGTATGAGTCTAAAAACAGTTCAAAAAGAGAAAATATGTGAAGTCTCCAAACGGAATTCTCCCATCCCAAGTTGCCATTCCCTCCCATCCTTCCTACATATACATCTATTGTTTATCACGCGCTTTACCGTTTGCACAATTTCATTTTATTGAGATTAATTATTAAAAATTAATTTTTTGTTAAGCTTAAACTATTAAAGAGAAATTACTCAATATAAGACTAAAACATATAGAAGTTTTGCTTAATTCATTTTTACTTTTATTTGTTTTCCATCTATTATTTTTTACCCTTTGCGTAATTCTTTTTTTTTTTGGATTAATTATTATAAACTATTTGAATGCTAATATTAATCTATTAAATAGAAATTGCTCTATATAAGAATAAAACATATACAAAGTTCAAAACTATGACTAAGTATGTTTTATTTTCCAAAAAAGGACTTATCTAAACTTATTAAAAGAATAACTTGATTAAAATTTCCCAAAACAAGAGGCATGAGTCCTATTTTGGGAATAAAACATTGATGATTCTATTTATGAACTTTATCGATGTTTAATTCCTATATTAAATAATTATCTCATTATTAAATTTGTGTATTTATGCTGAAAAGAGAACTCTATCCATGTTTTAGGATGAAAAGATATTCTTATAGTGTGTCTAGAGTTAAATAAATTTGGAGCGTACCAGGATTAGTTCAGATTCTAATTCAAATGATTCGCTATTGATAAATGAAGAATTGGATCAAATTATTGCTAAAAGTGAAACTAATTAATTTGTCTTATAATCTACATAACCAACATGTTAATTTTAAATCTTTGGAAGTCGATCTTTGATTGAGAAAAAAACGCTGATTTTTATCCTAATATTCAAGACGAGGTACACCGTAGGTACCTTAAAATGGATCATTTCACCCTCGGGATCATGATTTCTCTTTTAAAGTAATTGGCGACAAAAGACGTAAATTCGTTTCAAGTTGGTTTGATGAGCATAAACGGTTGAAATACAGTATTGCCAAAGATGTTACATTTTGTTTATCATGTTAGATAGTATTTGTTTAAGAATTAGTGGGAATTTAAGTTGGTGGTGATCAGTTTTGGGAATAGGATTTTCCCTACATTTTGTTTACCATGTTATTTGCCGTTTAAGATGTTGAATTTTGTTTACCATGTTATTTG